GTCTGTCTGTCTGTCTGTCTGTCTGTCTGTCTGTCTGTCTGTCTGTCTGTCTGTCATCAATACAAGAAGCCCAATGAAAGAATATTTTAAATCAGCCTCAAGTCATCTCTCCACTCCCCACTCCTCTTTCTTTTTCATCCTGCTTCTGACACCTAGCCTATATTTAGGATCTACCTGCTCCAAGTTCTAGTCCGCCCTTTGCCAGAAGCCATTTCTTCGATTTTGGGGATTCTCATATTATACTCTACTGCAAAGTGGCGACAGCTGACTCGGCCAAGCTTTGCGAGATTTCGGTAATTTTCTTCCGGCCTAGCGGTCTCCACCAGCTTGTTTTTGTCCGGAACCACCGGGAGCTGCAGACAATGGGCAGAAAATATCCTGTGATAAATGGACAAGTGCTTGTCTCATTTCGCCGGCCTCTCCTACCAAATAGCGGTAATCAGCCCCCTGTCGGCGGGCCCATACAATCGCCTTCAGTCCGCGTTATCGAATTAACAACTCAAGCACGACAGACACTTTTATTGGTTGCTCGCTTGACGGGGCACGAACGGGATGACATCCACGCTGATTTCTGATTGAAGGAAACTTGCCCTTAACCCCGCCCACTGGGCTGTGCCTCGCGACAACGGCTGCGCATGGACATGACTTGAGAAATGGTCAAGATAGGTACTTAAAAAGATTCTCCAGATGTAACTCGTCAATTGGCCCTCGACGTACTGGTCATGTCCACCCGGTTTCTGAGACAACGAAGGAAACAATTTCTTGTGCTGTGAGCATACCAAGCGCGGAGGATAGAACCTTTCTGTTTAGGACACAAAATACTTTTATGTTTTGTTTCTTTCAATTTCTTTGTTCTCCTTCAAATACCCAGCCGTGGACAAATAAGAGGAGGTAGCAATTTATTGTTTCAAGCACAAGTCACTGGCTTATATTATGAAGACATGAATGGTTTTGTCCACTGCATTATTGCAGCATCTTGTGAAGTGTTTGATCAACAAGGGGTCCCCAAACAATAACGCAGTAACTACAGGAACCCCTCTCAAGTTTACCATCAAGACCTGCAAAGGCACAGACAAGCTAAATGATGCAACAAAACGTGGTCTCGCCCTCAGTGATGTCTTCCCCCTACTTGCTATGGCACTACATGCATCATCTGTCGCCTCCCGACAAGTCTCAGGACCAAGTCCTACACCCAACGCTCACACCAACAAAACTGTTCCCCAGCCAGTACCCAGGGTATCTGCAAGAACAAAATTTGAATCAGTCTCCCCATCAGTTGTGCCCTGGATTACCGTACCCGTACATGCACGAACAGCCTCACAGCCACCTGCCTCACAAACAGCAAATACAAGAACAGCTTCTGCTCTCTCAGTACGGACAGTATGTAGCACCACACGACAATCTCAGTGTCGAAACGCACCCCCAGTACACGTCCCTAAATGTCTCTCATTCGAAAGACTATAACGGAAATAACAAAAGAAGTACGACGCCGACTGCATTCATGCAACTCAAAAACCGTCATCAAAAGCTGGGATCTGTTTGCCAATCGCCGAAGAAAGGTTCGTCTTTTACAATTGACGCAATTCTTAACAAAGACTCAGAAAAAGTGAAGGAAGAATCGTGCGAAGCTCTCTCTCCGGCGTCCGACTCCTTCTCCGAAAATCCCATCAGCACAAATGTGATAAACAGTTACAGCTCGACGTGTCATCCAGCGCCACACAAGTTCGGAGTTCTTGATGATAACCTGAGAACAAATAATATGTCATCAGCACATTCACCATCACCCTTCTCAATAGACAATTCAGCAGTGATAAGACGCCGAGAAAGATTTCTTGACCTGGCGCATCCCTATCTGTACCACCACCACCACCATCCCAACCAGCACCATGCCGTGGAGGGTGCCAAGTTCCAGTTCCAGTCCCCTCCACAGCCGGGTAGGAGCTCGGGCCTCCTACACGTGAGTTCAGTTCTTCACACGCCATCAGCCTCGTCTTCCTCAGAGTCCTCCAGTGCCGCCACCT